AAAAAAAAAAAAAAAAAAAAAAAAAAAAAAGAAAGAAAAGGAAAACCATATTCGGATAAAAAAAAATATACGTGTACGTTATAAATACATCACCGACCAAATTGCAAATTATTATTCACGGAATAAATACATCAGTCGCAGTTTTGCTTAGAATTAAAATTTATCGTTTTTTACGCAACGATATACAACGGACAAAACATTTTTTTTATTTATTTTTTTTTCCCCCCCTCCCTCACCGAATAGTCAAACGAAATATATCCACGTCGGGAATCGGCAACGAAACAAATTTTTGCGGATTTGCGGAGATCGGTATACGATAACCATCAGTTTCGCAAAAATAAGCAGCTTGGCCAATTCCAGGGCCCCGATACAGCGGCTATTACGCTCAAATTAATAATCAATGCTAATTGCCATTGTCATTAGGTGAACGACCATTATACATCGCGAATAACTATGTCGTTCGATCTACTTTGCCAACTTTGTGATAGTAGGTATCGGTTAACTTGATACAGATACGTGGAAAATTTTGCAAACTCGAACGAAATTTATTTTCTTTTTTTTTTTTTCTTTTTGCTGACCCTAGGTCAATCTTGTTTCGAAAAAATATATATATGTATATATATATATATCACATTTTATTTCTGTCGTCGAGAATCATTATTATTCCCGATATCTTCTTGTATATCAATAATGCGATTATTTCAATTATTCCGTGCGGGCATTTATCTTTGATTTGCATGTAAATTGTTAACAACGATTTCAATAATCCACGTGTACTGTGAAGCTTGACAGTTTGACGTGTATATTTATCCGCGAATAATAATTATTTTTCTACTTTGAATGATAATTTCTTTTTTCCTCTGGTGATTTTATAAATTTGGCTGATGGTCAAATTAATAGTTGATAAAATTTGATATTTTTTATATTTATATTTTTAAGTATGATAAGGTGAATTGAGGAAATTTCAAATATTCGACTAATATAAAAATAATACTACGTCATATTAAATTATATCTTCATATTATTTTACATCACGATCATTGAACCATTGCATTCACGCAGTTTTCAATTTTTTATATAAAAAAAATCTAAGAAGAAATTAACAACAAAATCTACTGAGGAAATAGAGGAAGCCATGCCATTGAAGCCATTTTTTGATTTAATTCGATATCTCGATCGGTTGCCGAGATATAAGCAGTTTTCACGGCGTTTAAATTATGAATGGGCTCCGCTGATATTTTTATTTCTTGGAAATACGCGTACTACGCTCTTCCAGGAATCGCGTCTGGCACTTGTCTAGAGTTTGGTATAGGTCAGTGAGACGAGGCGCGAGCGAGAGGTCCGAATAAGCGACAAGGAAAGAGATAGTAACCGATTAAAAATTACCGTTTCCTTTACGCGATATCTCGACGATATATCGACGATATCTCGAAAACCGGAAGTCGTATCGGAATGAATGAAAAAGCGTTTCAAAGGGGAAGGTTCCGCGCTTCTAATGGTCTTTCATCCATTAACAGAAAATTATTATCTTCGGAGTTATGGAGGTTTAAATTTTTCCCTAATTTTAATACGATTTAATGATGAACTTTTAAGCTAAATTGTATACTAAATTGTATATTTATTTGTTGGAATAGAAGGGGATGATATAGTATAAGATTAAACGTAAAAATGATAAGATAATAAGATATTACCCTCTTTTTTTTTCTCGTACACTTCGTATTCCCTTCTATTCTAACAAATAGCAATTATTAACAAACAAAATGAACAACACAATTTTACCTTATCCATTCTCTGCGGTCTCTGCATCGACTGACCTCACTCTAATTTTTATCACACTTCCTCTAATTAAGCGAACGTAACGCAACACACGTATGCGATCCAATTAACATTGGATTACACAGAATCGCGATATTGTGAGACGTGTATTTTTCACGCAGGATGTATTAAAAAAAAAAGAAAAAAGAGAGAAAATACCGCGTGTATATTTCCAGAATATGAATTTAAAAAAAACATTTGAATTATTGTTACGCCTTCTTTAATTACACCTGTGTTAAACGAACGATTTTTAAAGCGTTTATTTTTTATAAAAAAAAAATTAATATAAATACGAATATTTATTAATATTATAATTTCTTACTTCGTACAATCTCAATATCTTTGATTCACGATTTTTACGTTTATAAAAATCTGTTATTATCCACTTTTAGAAATTCGATATTTATTATTTATCCAAGTATTTCGTGTAACTGATTTTTTTTTTTTTTTTTTGAAACACTTTCATGAAACTGTACACCTATAACATAGAATACTGTACGTGCGCGAGAGTACATCACATTTTTACAACGAGTAGTTGCAAAGTAGAAAAATTCTCCGGGATAAGTAAAGGTAGAGAAAGTTTGAAAACTTTCAAGTTGCGATCCTCATAAACGCATTATCCATGAAAACTCACCGTAAAGTCGAATGTTTCCCTCGGCATCGCCGATCGAGTTCTTCGAGATGCATTTGTAACCACCGAGATCCTGCTTTTGCAGATTCATGATCACCAATCGCATCTGCACACTGTACACGGACGTCTTCACCTCTGACATCGAGTATTTGTGGTTGCTAATTATCATTTCACCTGAAACAAAAATTTCATATCGCATGTTATCGCATTTTATCGAATTTTTTTTCCCCTTTATTACCAATTTTAATTAAGATTATTATTTCGATCGTGGAATCGTGGAAACAAAGAAGTTTATGAAATAAGGCTTCTTAATGTGTTTTGTAAAACCAGCTTTCATTTTTATTATTATATATTTTATTCTTAGCGCAAAGCCGTGCAAAATTCACAGCCGGGTAAATTTCTTTATATACGATTCCGCTTCTTTATCTTTCTAGCAAGAAATATTCTAAGCCGCTTGCTTTCTTCTCTCCAATTTCTAAAAGGATTCCTTTTTTTTTAAACTGTGAAATTAACGGCCTTCGATCTTCATTTTTTTTTTTTTTTTTTTAAGAACGAAAGCAAAATTAATAATTAATAAAATAATATTTTCTTTAAACTGTACACGATTTCGATTAACATTTACAATAATCAAGGAAAAAAAAAATTCCAAAGCAATCCGTACAAATAATTCCGTATAAAAGGCAAATCGAATTATGCAAACTTCGTCCCACGGAAAACGTTACGTCGTAAGAAGGTAGAGGGAAAAAAAGAAAAATCTGCCAAGAAGCCGGTAAAATGGGAATTTTCGAACCGCACAATGCTCGAGGTTCGCTTCGCATTTAAATTTTTGTACGTGACTTATCTTCGCAAGCGTACACGCTTCGCCGGATTATTATTTTACCCAGCCAGCCAACGAAAATCCACTTTCTAAATCGCGTGCGATTTAATAAACCTATCGATTCACGTTCTTCGACTCGGGAAAATAAAATATCCTTTCTTCTTCTTATACCTCCCTCTTTCTTCCCAACGAAATATTTATTTATTCTTGCAATATCTACGTTCGCCGTACCTTTCGTTAACGATACAAATTTTTCCCTTCTAACCTTTGTTATAACTATATAAAAAGAATATTCCAAAACAATGTTAACATCGAATTGACTTTGATATTAAATTTTCCATTTTCTCAAGCGTTATTATAGAACAAGAAAGAAATGTCTCTTAATATCGCTACACGATTTCATTTATCGAGATTGTTTTGATTTTAAGGCACAAGATAACTCGGGTAGAATAGAGAACAGAATTATATAGATGCAAGAAAGTATCTATTAATATTAATAGATATGTAAGAAGTATAGATTTTTAAAATTTATTACAATTAAGCAAAGTGTTAAGCACAATCTCGAAATATGAGATAAAACGGTTGATCGAATCTTACCTGATTCGCGTGTCCAATAATTAATGGCCTTGGGGGAAGCTTCGACGAGGCAGACCAGCGTAACGTTGGTTCCAGTTGGCGCACCGACTAGCTGGTTCGGTACTTGAACCATGGGGTGAACTGCAATTTATCGTGACGCCATTAATCAATGGCCAAACATATAAAGTATATATGTAATAATTATCGGCCGCATCGCGATTTGTCACCGGCCATTGATACGGATCAATGGAACGCGGCGACACATTTGCAGATTTAAAGTAAATTTCACGATCCTCCTCGTGAAATTATTGCGTTTAATGTATCTGCGTATAATTATTCGTGGAATGGAAACGTTCTCGAGGCCGAGAAATGGGAATGATCAGGGACGAAATTCAAAATGTATTTTGAAAATAGAAGAATTTTCAAGTTTTATTTTATTTTTTTTATTCGGTATCTTCTTATTTCGTTATTAAATTTACTTGCTCTTTGAAATTGAATTCCAAAAGTTGAAGCGAATCTTCGTTCGTTTCTTTCGTGTCCTATGTTCAGCGAAAAATTTTTATAGAAGAATGTTCGTGATAGAAGAATGTTTAAACTCTTTCGAAAACTTGTATCACTGTGAAGCAATGTAATGAGTCTCTGGGGCACTATTTACAAGAAAAAGAATACACGTTATCCTATACACATTGTTTGTATACGTTTCCTTCTGTTTCACTATCTTTCCTGGTATTTCAAGTAAACTGTCGCTTTTTATCAGTGCTTCCTATCCTCTTCAGAAAAGATTCTTCGACGATAATAATTTCGTAATTTTAAAACTGATAGAGGGGAAAGGAAAATCGGCGAGAAAAAATAAATTATTATTATCGTATTTTAACTTCAATTGTTTCTATGATTTCATTCGACATATCGTTAATGCAGATAAAGTAGAATATTCAGCATAGAAACATATTATCCAGTTCCAAACATTCTACCATCCATTCAAATGTTTCATTATTTGAAACTAAGTGTGCTTGTTTCGTTACTTTAGCATGATATCGATATTATGTCAACATTTTGTATACGATGTAATCAGAGAGAAAGTATATGTAACAATAACTGTGAAACCAAATAATTTATCGAGAAGTAAAAGTATTTATATATATACACACAAAAATCGTTCGATAAATCATATTACTCTCAATTCGAACGAATATTTATCAAAAAAAAAAAATCACGATACAACAAATAAACTGAAAAATCGATTCACATACCGACGATTCTTTTCCACGGTGTTGAAAACATAAACCTTTCCATAAAAACAAAGAATAGACCACTATAACCACGAATCAAACTTCATTTCACTCTCTCTCCATCTTCACACCGTTAAATTTAATAATCTGAAAGGAAAGAAAGAAATAAAAAAGACAAACCCTTCATCACGACATAAAACCACGTAATATTCCTCACACTAAAAATTTCCAATCTTCAACTTCAACCATCTTTCCAACAACACTTTCTCTCTCTCTTTATCTCATTGAATTAAATATAAGTCTCCGCACTCCGCCACGAAACTGTGTCACACTACACAACGAAGCAACTCTCTTCACAATTCCGGATCATATTCATTCCGCAATTTGCACAATTGCTGCGCCCACCGAGGCAAAGTAGACGAACGGGGTGGAGGAGGGTTAAGAGCAACAGAAGTCGATGTATTTCGCCCTGCTAGCAAGCAATCGCCTTACGAGATATTTTCGCGGTGTTTGTCCTTTTGTGTTCGAAGCATTAGCCTCTCCGGGTTGGCCCGCGTAACTTATGATAATGAAAATGCCGGCGTGGTTGACGGTGCTGTCATTTAAAAAAAGGGGAAGAGAGGGGGGTAACTCGCGCATCTTTCGTTCCAAATATCGTAAGCAGCTCATGGAAAGCTGCTTACGTTGTAACAGCCATCCAAGGCTCGGACTCGACCAGTTCTTTTGACCGGAAGACTAGCCTCCCTCGCTCCTGCATTTCAGAGAGGAAGGGGAGGCCAGGGAGGGAGGGTACAAAGGGCTCGCCGTGTATCAGGAGAGGGCTCATCTGCATATATTTCGAAGATAAGTAGAGGAAAGTGGACCAGCTGCATACGTCTTACGAGGGATATCTCGTTGGAGGAACGAATTTAAGATAGGTTTAAAGATATGTTGAGGGATAAGGAGGTTTGGGTTCAGTTGTTTAGTGAAAGAGATATTTTCTGTGGCTCTTTTTTTTTACGTAATAAAATTGTTACGTAAGGTTGTACATCGTATTCTTTCAATTATTCCAAAATAAAAGTCTGTTGTTATTTTAAAATCGTCGTCCGGTTTTAAATGATGTATACCTGGTGTTAAATTATAAATTTTACGTTTACACGAGGGTATAATAAAATAGTGCGATGCATGAGATCCCCAAGAACGTGATGAAATTGTCAAAGCCACGATGCAGGTTGATCAAGTTGGAAAGCTGAGGAGTTCGAAAAGGGCGAACTTGATTAAGATCAAAATTGAACCAAGGTGGCGTATAACTCCACGATGGTTGCGCATATATTGGGATACCTTAATACAGTAAACCCTTAAACCCAACGAAGTCCACGGCGTGCATAACACGAAAACAAATCTGCAGTTTCTCTCGTGCACCCGTGGGACTTGTAGGTTTGCGAAGGAATAAAGCGAGAGAGAGGCCTTTGATTCCCTGGTGAGAGGAAAATACATTTTCTGAACTGTCGGCCTCCGGAATAAACTATGTATCGTTGCCTCTTACCAATAAAATATCATAAATTTAACCGAACTCGAGACTGTGCGTGCGTGCAATTGCGTGAAATCTACTATTTTATACGATTGTATATATAACATTTTATAATATATTATATAAATATATAATATAAATATATATTTATATAAATTGAGGGGGAAAGATAAAAAAAACTTTCTTTTTAAATAAAAAATTTACAAATATTATAAGATAATATTTATGAATTGTAATAAGTATATAACAACTAGAATAACTAGAATCTCTGATATATATATATTAAGACATTCATTTTCCAATATTTAAGAAAACTGGATGGAAATTTAGCAAACATTAAAACCTATTTTGAAATTATTATTAACCAAAACTATACTAAACTAAACTATATTGAAATTATTGTTAAATAAACGCCAATTAAAAATAAAAATAGGAATAAGAATTTAAGAATAGTGTTTCACACGAGAACCGTAAAACAAAATCAGATAAATCAGAATAAGACAATCAAGACAAGTACTATAATCTGAAATATCAAGTTACTCGTTCAACGTTATTGCCAAAAAAAAAAAAAAAAGAAAAAAGAATCGACAAGATCTTTATATATCCTTCAACCAAAGTTAAACAAAAAAAATTTTAATTCCGGGCAAAAGATTCGTTAAATTTCCATCAACGAAATAATTAATTAAAACCACGCGTAAAATACGTATACGCGTCGCGCGTAAATCATTTTACAAATTTTACAAGGTAATTAAATAAATCACGTGGCTCAGGAACGTTTGTTCAAGGGGGTATGGAAAAAAATAAACGTACATATGGACGAAAGGTGTCACGTTACGAACAATTTCCGGCACGTGAAAGTTTTATCCACTGTCGATACGGACAGAATTATTTAATACATCGCGTGGCCAATTAAAACTTTTTTTTCTCTCTCCCTTTCCCCCTCTCTCTCTCTCTCTTTCTTTCCTCCTCTCGATTCCCGCGAGCAACAGACTTGCGGGTATATCGTAAATCAATCTTTGTATCTGGACACATGGTGGTATCGATTGCTATACTCGTTCGAATATTCATTTATCCTCCGATTGTGGCTCCTCCCCTCGATGTTTAGATTAATGAGCCGAACGTAATCCAATTCTGTAATTGGCCGGCGCGAAATTGAAATCGATGACACACGAAAAAACGGGAATAAAGATGTACCGGTGGGGCAATAAACGCCAAACACGTTTCAACGCGATCGAATTGGGAACAACGGGTCGAGTCTCTCTTCCGCCATAGAAATCGTGCGTTAGAAGAATCTTGAACAAATTCTTTTTTTTTTTTTTCTTATTATTATTTTTGCGATTTAACCGATTGAAGATTGAATTGTCTATAATAATTGTTTCGTTTATGAATTTATAAGATTATTTTATATGAATTTATAATTTTTATTTATTTTATATATTTTTCATATTTTATATGAATTTATAAGATTATTATATATGAATTTATAAGATAATTTATATGGGGGTTTAATTGGTATTAATAACGAATTATTCGTGGTACGAAGTCAAGTTTATTTATCATTGTTCTAATTTTGTTGTTGTATCATTGTCTAATTGCAAATTGGCTGGGCGGCCAAGTTTCATGTTTTTAACGATAAGCAATGTTGGCGCGAATTAAATGCGAATCGGTTTCATTCGTTATCTTTTATCAAGAGTTATATATATATATTTCCTACTGCGATCTTCGATTTTGTATATTTACACGCACGAATTTCGGTGAGCCCTGATTTATGATGCGGATCATCGATTCAGGTAAATTTAAATTAATAGAGGCGAAGTTTAAACTTTACGTGATGCCCGGATTTTAATCGATCCAACATCGAGATCTTCCGTTATCTCATCTATAATCGCGGATAAGTGTTCCAATCCTGTCTAACCGTGTGAATAATAATATAGAAGATAAAATACGTCATGGAAGATAAAATACCAGGCTTTTAAAATCATCATCGTAATCCCCAAAATTTCCAAATATCTTAAAAGAGTTTAAATAATATTCATGAAGAATATATCCTATTTCTTCTTCAACGAATATTAGACAAAATTAGAACAATGATAAATAAACTTGACTTCACGAATAATCGATTATTAATACCAATTAAACTCCTATATACCACTCTTCATGGATAATAAAAATAGTGAATAGACTATAAACTTTCTGATTCTTTTTTCTCAACTTCCTTATATATATATATAATTGGAAGGGAAGGAAGAAAGGTAATTGGAAAAGGATGACAGGGCGAAAGGTGGTATCAGGTGATATTCTTCGAAAATGTTAGGTGTTTGGTGGGCGAAATAAATCATTTAAATTGGAGGAAAGAGAAATCCCGGCTAATAGCTCAGGATCTTGGCGAAGGTGTTGTCCCC